TTTTTTCAAGTTCTGTGAAGAAAGTCAATGGTAGCTTGATGGGGATAGCGTTGATTCTGTAAACTACTTTGGGCAGTATAGCCATTTTCACGATATTAATTCTTCCTAACCATGAACATGGAATGTTTCTCCATCTGTTTGTGTCCTCTCTGATTTCGTTGAGCAGTGGTTTGTAGTTCTCCTTGAAGAGGTCCCTTACGTTCCTTGTGAATTGTATTCCAAGGTATTTTATTCTTTTTGTAGCAATTGTGAATGGCAGTTCGTTCTTGATTTGGCTCTCTTTCAGCCTGTTATTGGTGTAGACGAATGTTTGTGATTTTTGCACATTGATTTTATATCCTGAGACTTTGCTGAAGTTGCTTATCAGTTCAGGAGTTTTTGGGCTGAGGCTATGGGGTCTTCTAAGTATACTATCATGTCGTCTGCAAATAGAGACAATTTGGCTTCCACCTTTCCTATTTGAATACCCTTTATTTCTTTTTCTTGCCTGATTGCTCTGGCTAGAACTTCCAGTACTATATTGAATAGGAGTGGTGAAAGAGGGCATCCTTGTCTAGTGCTGTATTTCAAAGGGAATGCTTCCAGTTTTTGCCCATTCAGTATGATATTGGCTGTTGGTTTGTCATAAATAGCTTTTATTACTTTGAGATACGTTCCATCGATACCGAGTTTATTGAGGGTTTTTAGCATAAAGGGCTGTTGAATTTTGTCAAATGCCTTCTCTGCGTCAATTGAGATAATCATGTGGTTTTTGTTTTTGGTTCTGTTTATGTGGTAAATTACGTTGATAGACTTGCGTATGTTGAACCAGCCTTGCATCCCCAGGATGAATCCTACTTGATCATGATGAATAAGTTTTTTGATTTGCTGTTGCTATCGGCTTGCCAATATTTTATTGAAGATTTTTGCATCTATGTTCATCATGGATATTGGCCGGAAGTTTTCTTTTCTTGTTGGGTCTCTGCCGGGTTTTGGTATCAGGATGATGTTGGTCTCGTAAAATGATTTTGGAAGGATTCCCTCTTTTTGTATTATTTGGAATAGTTTTAGAAGGAATGGTACCAGCTCCTCTATGTGTGTCTGGTAGAATTCGGCTTTGAACCCGTCTGGACCTGGGCTTTTTGTGTGTGGTAGGCTCTTAATTGCTGCCTCGACTTCTGACCTTGTTATTAGTCTATTCATAGTTTCAGCTTCCTCCTGATTTAGGCTTGGGAGGACACAGGAGTCCAGGAATTTATCCATTTCTTCCAGGTTTACTAGTTTATGTGCATAGAGTTGTTTGTAATATTCTCTGATGATGGTTTGAATTTCTGTGGAATCTGTGGTGATTTCCCCTTCATCATTTTTTATTGCATCTATTTGGTTGTTCTCTCTTTTATTTTTAATCAGTCTGGCTATTGGTCTGTCTATTTTGTTGATCTTTTCAAAAAACCAGCTCTTGGATTTATTGATTTTTTGAAGGGTTTTTCGTGTCTCAATCTCCTTCAGTTCAGCTCTGATCTTAGTAATTTCTTGTCTTCTGCTGGGTTTTGAGTTTTTTTGATCTTGCTTCTCTAGCTCTTTCAATTTTGACGATAGGGTGTCAATTATACCAGAAATCTTAAGCTAACCAATGTCACTATAGTTGAATACAAAATTTAACCCTGTACTTCCCGGCACAAACTAATGCCAAAATATATATTGGCTATATATCTTTCCTTAGAAAACAAAAGGAAACTCCCAACATTGTTAGGAAACATCTATTTTCTCTACATTTGAATACTAAAAATAATGTGAGTCTGAGAATGCTAAGTAAACTTGATAGAAAAGAACAAAAACACTGAACTCTGAGGTACTGAGTTTTTATACTTATTTTCAAAGCCAATTTTTGAAATCAAAGTTTACTTTTTCATTTTAACTAAATGTGTTTTCATGCTTTCTGGATATTTAAAAACTAGAGTCTTGTACAAAACTTTATTTGAAGGACTTGATTCCTCAAAAAATATATTCTACAATATATTTAGTTTAATTCAATTAAAATATTTATTGAATACCTATAGGGTGCTGGGAACTGTGATCATTATGTGAAAGTAATTATTTTCCGTTTAAAATGATAAATACTCTTTAATTTACATATCATCTAACGCTCTAAGAACAAAGTATTATTTGGTGTATGATGGACATACTATATTCTAAAGTACACAGGATTTTATATGTGTTAAGTAGGAAGATGCCTTGTTTTAAATTGATAGTAACAAATGAGAGGAATGTTTTATTGCTGCCTCTAAAAAAAATGCCTCTTTTTATTGGTTTATTTGGTTGGTTAGTAGGTTTTCTTTAATTTACATATCATCTAATGCTCTAAGAACAAAGTATTATTTGGTGTATGATGGACATACTATTCTAAAGTACACAGGATTTTATATGCCTTAAGTAAGAAGATGCCTTGTTTTAAATTGATAGTAACAAATGAGAGGAATGTTTTATTGCTGCCTCTAAAAAAAATGCCTCTTTTTATTGGTTTATTTGGTTGGTTAGTAGGTTTTAAGAAAAATAAGAATGTAGTAAATGAATCACTGGGTAAGAGTGAACAGACTTAATTCCTCAAATGACCAGCTATGATACTGTGTCTGGGTCTACATTATGCATTTTCAAAACACCTGAATACATTTAGCTAACGTCATAACTTTAGTCAGTTTAGGCTACTGCTAGATGATAAAAAAGGAACTAGTTGAAAAATAAACACATCATTAAAACTGCCCAAGTGCTTTAACTTTTGTGATGTCAACTGTTAAAAGTTAGACTCTCTAGAACCAGACTCTGAGACAGAGCTTAATTTGCTGAATTTTTATTGAGGATTGTCCTTGGGCTCAACACCCATGGAAGAGTGGGAAATTAAACAGGAATGAGCAGAAGTTGAGCTGTGCTATGGATCCAGTGACAGTCTCTACTGAGCCCATACAGAATTCTGAAGCTAAAATAGGTTTTCAGAGCTGCCCTCCTTTGAGTCAAGATGGCCATGGCTTTATCCTAATATATAATCTATCATTGAGTATAGTCTTCCTTGGGAGGTGCCATGACTTTGGATGAAGCAGCTCTCTGCAACCGAAGCAATCAGTGAAAGAGGCTGAGGCTGAAGACTGTTTGCTGGCAACATTCTTTGCTGCTGGGCAACAAGTCCTTCGCTGAAGAAAATCTATTGGGAAACCACAGTGTCCATCAATAAACCATGTTTATTGCCTCCTCTTACCCACATATCCCCTAAAATATCCACATGTTGCAGCCCAGCAAGGTTATGCTCTAGTAAAAAATAAATGAACAAGTGAGTTAGCTGAATCACCTCTTTGGTCCAACATCTCCATACAGAAACATCCTGCTATTCAATTTCTCCATCCATTAAACAAATGAACCAGCAAGTGTATGGATCTTAACAAACGACTTTTAATTGACAAAAGCAAGAAAATTAGACATTTAGACAGCAGAAGAAGTTCCAGTTAAGTCTCAGAGTCATTAAAGATTCAATCCAGTCTTCTATGCCTTTTACAGGACAAATAGTACAACCAGAGCTCAACCTTCAGGAAGATCATTCTCAGCCAATAAATGTCCCTATATTTAAAAAAATAAAATCTTTTCACTACACTATATTGATTAGGACAAAAAAATGATTTAGTGGAAAGAAACTCAACAGGGGTTTGAACAATAGTTTTTCCCTTTACTAAACAAAAAAATCAAACAATGAACCTAAGTCACAATTATTGAATATTTCTGCCACTCAAGCTTTGAAGATAGAGCTTTTTTGTAATCCAAATCATTATAAAAAAAAACCAATTGATATTAATTGGTGTATTACTTGCAGAATAATTTTGAAAGCTACCAGGCCTGCTTTTATTACTCTCTTTCTCCATTCCTTACCTCCATCCTTTGTTCTGTCTCAGTTGTTTTCTGAAAATTAGGTCCAAAAATTATCAGAAAAAGCAACAATAAAAAAGAAAATACCAATTGTCTATCATTCACAGTTATTAGATGAAAAGCTATTTGGTGACAGTCCTCTCTAAAGGGTGACTGTACATTAGTAATTTATTTGGTTAATTAATTTTTATCTTTATTTTTAATTCATTTAACTAACTTAAGGCATCAAATGGGAAAAAAAGCCTATTGTGTTTCAGTTCAACATATAATTTCTGACACTTTAGTGCTAGTTTTAGAATCTCAGCACAGTAGGGAATTCGGAGCAGAAATCTTGTTGGGAGGGGGACTGGGGAGCTTGTCTTGAAGTTGAATTTGCAGATAAACCATATTGTTTAACTTGGATTTTATGTCTACTTAGGGTGTTCTGAAAACTAATGGAGATGGTGGGGAGGTGGCTAATGGTCACAGCCACTGCTGCTTATTACTTGCAAGCTGCTCTGTTGGGCACTGCCTGCATTAATGTAATTTTTATGACATAATTCCTGTCTTTAAGAAATTGACACTCAGTATATCCAGTGGTAGTGAAGGAAAAATAACGTAAGTACATACATATAAAACCTAAGGGGGTAAAAAATAGAGAAGTCATTATGTCTGTTTAGAAGAATAAGAATGTATATCAGTCAAAATGGCACTGGAAATAGACCTTGAAGTTTGGACTTTAAACAGCTTGAGCAGCTTACATACTATGATTATTTATGTTACCTACATGTGCAAATATGAGGTGAAAATTAGATGACAATTTGGATCAAAGAAGCAGATATCTAACTGTCTAGCAATTAATCAAAATATTTTAGGGCTGATAATTTGAATATCCACACTCACACTTGATTAATTTAGCATATATAGGGACAGTCTTAGGCGTCCACAAAGGTAATTCTCCAATTACAATAGTTAAAAGTAGCATCTCCAGTGCTAATTTGATTCTGATCAATGTTTTCAAACATTTCATGAGTTCAGTCAAGAAGGTCTGCAAAATGTCAGATTTTATTAAGCAACAACCTACCCAATACCATACAAGGATAACACTAAACTGAGTCCAATTTTGTACCTAGGCCAAGAGTTGATTCCAGATGGAACTGTGAAGACCCACAACGATGTGCCCGTGAATAATGAGTAGTACCTACTGTGGCAACTCTTCAGCTAAGATGAGTGTCAACGAAGTATCAGCTTTCTCATTGACTCTGGAGCAAAAAACTGGCTTTGCTTTTGTTGGGATTTTGTGTATCTTCTTGGGACTGCTTATTATCAGATGCTTCAAAATCCTGCTAGACCCATATAGCAGCATGCCTTCCTCTACATGGGAAGATGAAGTTGAAGAGTTTGATAAAGGGACATTTGAATATGCACTCGCGTGAGAGTTCCAGCTATACAGTTTTTATGGTTGCACCATTGGGACACATTCTGGATACATTTGTAATTACCTTGCGTGTGTGTGGGAGAGGCTCATTTTGTGTGGCGAACTCAATAAACATCTGTAACTGATTTCTTCACCATGCTGAGCAAATGATAAACTATTGTTGGGATTCCTCATTTTCCTCTGTCTCCACTTGGAGGTTTCCAGAGAATCGAGCATAAGGATGGCTGCAGCTATGTTTACCACCTTTATTCTTGTTTGAACAACTGCCTTGAATTTCTGCTTCCTTTCTTGTGCTAATAAACTGTGCAAAAGGCATCTTGCTCTCTCCCCTCAGACACCCTCTCTGCATTCCAGACTCAGGCCCCTTTAGCTTTAGTGAGTCAGGTTTTAAACATAAGAAAATTTAGTCTGAAGAATAATCAGAATATTATTTCTTTAATAATAGCCATAGGTCAAAAAGATTCACAGATTAAAAAAAAACTCAAAAACTAACATCCAAAGCCTACAAGTAGTCATAGGCCCTAAAGGTCTCCAAATTTCACAAAGCCTTGACCCTCCTATCTCTTCTCTTTATTGAATTTCTTGAAGTAAAGTCCCATAGCTTGGAATCCAAACCAGACCTGCCTCATACTGATGCTCCCTCCACTTCCCCTTGCATAAATAGAATTTAAAAGGGAGTTTCCAGCATGACCTAGTAGAAAGAGTACTCTAAGCAGAAACAAACACAGTCTCAGCTGTGCCACCATTAGAGCTATGCTCTGATGGGTAAGTCATCTTGTCTCTGTGGGCTTCAGGGAAGAGGATTGTTAATATCCTTTCCAATTCTAGTGCCCTATGAATGCTACAAATGTACCTGAAAACCCAGAGATCTGAAATGAATGAGGATTTAATGTATCACGAAAAATTTTTCAGATTAGGAGCCTAAACACAGAGATTTGAATTCGAATGTTAGCTTAGCCAAGAACTAGCTTTACGACCCAGAAAGTTACCTAAGGGGAACCTATCTTCCAAAATAGGAATTAAGAAACCCATGTTGCATATCGTCAGGAATATTTAGAGGGTCAATTAGATATAAAGAATGTGAAAGCAATTTGTAAACCATAAAACAGTATCTACACATACTTTGCTATCATTATTTATTATCCTCATCAGTAGCAGTAATAGAGATTCTCAAACTCTAAGAAGCAATGGCTTAGTATAAATTATTCACTCTCTAGTATTTCATTCTCTTCAATTGAGAAGTAAAAAGATAAACTGATATAGTTCTAAAAATTCTTTCCAACTACCAATTTCTGACTCTCTATGAGTCAGAATGGAAAAACATAGCAGAAGATAAACACAAAAATATTTATGTCCTTTGAAAACACAGAACTGCAAAACATACCAAGAAGAAACAAGAGGAATATTACCAAGAGTTAGCACTAAACTCGTTACTTTCAATTTGTTTGATAGTCTTATCAATTATTTGAGTTTGGGACTACTATTTCCATTTTATTTTTAATCTTAATTTTGAGAACAAAAACTGAAGCTGAGAGAAATTAACTAACTTCCCAAGGTCATCATAGCTAGGGAATGGTTAAGTTTGGGATTGAACTTGTGCAGTTTAATTTCTTCTGTATCCCTGGACAGTGTCTTCAATACTTTTGCATAGCTTACAGACATGCTTACTGCTCAAGTCTATGGCATTTCAAAACCAGCTGTCTCTGTATGAGATTCCTTGATTCTTTCCATCTCATAATTGATTTAGAACATATCTATAATTAGCTGTGGCTCTTCTAGACCAAATTCTCACCTCAAGGAGGCTCTTTGTACCCTAATTGGTTCAAGAATGTAGGCCTGGTACACCTCATAGCCAGTTAATAACTTGGCCCAAGAACAGGTCACTGGTCCAAGTTCAATTGAACATACTGAAAGCTGTGTGTGCCGGGAAACTGGACGTCTCTTCGGAGACCAAGGCTTTTAAACTACCAGGTGTTTCATTTGTCTCCCAGAGAAGACCCTCCATTTTGCTGACTAGAACAACACAAGGCCAGACCTTTATTTCAAAGGAAGAAAGACCCTTACAACCAAGAGGCAGGAAAACTTTATACAATATGAGCATTGTTTCTGGAAGTTCAATTCCCATAAGCTTTTCAAGTATATCAGCTCTACCGTAATATTATTTCCAAATCCACTAAAGAAAAATTCTATTAACCAAAAGAGTCTTCATCTGTGGTTTTTATTCGTGGTCTTGGGTGCCTTAGATTTTTTTTGAGGAGGTGGAGGCAGTAAGAAAGTCAGCATCTGTAGTTTCAGAACCAGAAACAAGATCAAAAATATAAAAGACTGGTTACAATGTGCAAACAACATGAAGTGTTAATTATCTAGGAATAGATGTTCAATGTCACACCTGGATCAGCCTCTAGCTTTCCCTACCCGAAAACGTTGTCAGAAACGACAGGAGGAAAGACAGAGGAGCATACCTCAAGACAGCTTGCTTCTGTTACCTTTCCCGCATGTCTGAAAGGCCTAAGTCAGATTCACCTTTCAAGGTTGGCTTTACGGATGGTATAATTTCATCCATATCCCCGAAAACCATCTCCCATTTGTTCCAGGATGCCCGAATCCCCTTAATAGAGAACAAAGACTTTCATTTCACAGTGAGAGATAAAAGGCTTAGAATGAAAATGTCTGGTTGATGTAAGACCAAGACTAAAACAAATTCATACTACTCTGAAGTCAGGCAGTCAGTCAGAAAGAATAAAGAAATCAACTGGTATCAGAAGTATTCACAGTCGCTGGCAGAGGAAAAAGGCTGCAGAGTAAATAAGTGGCTCCCCAAAGGGTTGGAGGATGTCAGCTCCTGGCTTCTGTCCTGGTCTGGTGAATGGAACTTGTTTTGGGTCCCAGCCCCATCCTAGCTGTCCCTTGTCTTGATCTAAACAACCAGCCCCACCCAGTTGAATTTGAAATGTGCCATTCCTATGCCTAAACACTTTCTATATGAGGAGTCAGAACCCTTTGTTTAACAGATAAATGCCTTATACTGGCGGCCTTTAAGAGTAGAATGAGTTATAAGTACATCCTTGTAATTCTGTCTCTATTTCTGACATAGCCTCACAGTACTAGCCTGACTGATTAGCATGACATTTACCTGACGAAGAAAATCTAAAGGATTTTACTTAGGGTATCTCTAGACACTTCTATAATCCTGTTTCAGTTCACTAACTTACTTTTACATTTATTTTTATAGACGTAATATCTATCCCAGTCACTAATGATCCACCTCAAAATCCTGAATGTGCTAAGTAAAAATCTCTGGCTAATTGTAAACAGTGCTAAAATAGTGAGAGCAAGCACTAGGTACAAATTGTTGCTGTTCAAAACCTCATACCCAAACTAACTCATTTATTCCTCGCAATAACTCTACCACAAGGTAGGTACCATTATTACCGACATCTGCATTTGTGGATGAGAAAATTAAGGCACAGAAAGATTGTGTAACTTGACTGAGTTCACACAGACAGCAGTGGCAGGGCCAGGACATAGGTTGGGCCTTCTGACTTGAGTCTTGGTCCGAGCCACTATATTACACCACAACCAAGCTACCCACACAACTGGAAATCACTTGAATCGTTTCTTACAAGAAACAAAGTGGACTCATTCAATCATCCTGAATGAAAATCAGTGACAGACCTGAAAGAGGAATTGTTTGCTGTGTTAATAATCACCTACTCGCAGATCTGAAAAACAAAAACCTTTTCCTCAACGAAACTCAAAAACTGAGTTTGACAAAAAAATGTTTTCCAGTTGGAGACAGAAAGGTCAGTTAGTAGTGCCACTGGGATACTTACCCACAGTCTATTTCCTGCTTAAAACCGTTTTCCCTGTTGGCTCACACCTGTAATCTCAGCACCTGGCCAACATGGTGGAAACCCCCCTCTCTACTAAAATTACCAAAAAATTAGCGAGGTCTAGTGGCGGGCGCCTGTAGTCCCAACTACTTGGGTGGCTGAGGCAGGAAAATCGTTTGAACCTGGAAAGCAGAGATTTCAGTGAGCCGAGATGGTGCCATTGCACTCCAGCCTGGGGCAACAGAGCGAGACTTCGTCTCAAAAACAAAAAGCAAAAAGCAATTTTCCCATACGTAGAAAGGTTTTCAATAAATCATTGATTCCACTCTCAATCTGCTTACTTCCCAGGCAAAAGAGTCAAGGTAATATCTACTACAAGCAAGATGAAATCATTTCCAATACTACTGTCTAGTTACAGAGTTTAGAAATTTGCTCTGGAGAGCTATATTTTGATATACATGCTAAACAACAGGAAGTCACTAGGACTCATCTGAAATAAGACGGTGGAACTCAATTTATCTAGTCCCAAATGACTAACGCAATGCTCATAGTTTTTGAATGATTGCTGTTAAGCAATCTAATTCTCCTTATGAATTAAAGAAATTCTATGTTACTTTCTGTCTAAAAGGATTAATGATTTACTACTAGTTACCAGTTGATGTGGTACTTAAGGTCCCTCAGGGCTAATGACTGGGTGGGGCTTCCAGTAGTATTCTAGGCCAATCATTGCACAGCCATCTCTTTCAAGAAAGTTTCTAACCAATAAGCAGAAGCCTAACATTCTGAGCTGAAAGCTAAGTGCCCCATATAGTCCTGGGTGACGCTGAAGCAGTTGACCTTTCCTCAGAAGAAGGCTCCTTGGTGGTAAGTTGAACATTTCTGGGCAGGGTAAAAATCATACTTAATATTATGTAATAAAGTAAAATCTGAAGAGTAGGTGAGGGTGTCAAGGACTATGAAGAGAAGTGTTTTGTAAAAACTAAAAAGATAATAGCTTCACTTATAATTTCCCTAGGAAATGTTACTTGGGAAATGAAGTTGAGGGGTTTTTTTTAATTCAAAGACACAGCTTTAATAGCATGAGAGAGGCAAATTTTTGTTTATATTTATCTCATTTTTTTAGAACTTTCCTTGAAAAGCAGAATTTTAAGATATCAATAGGGAAACATAATTCTAAAGAAAGTGTTTTAAGACAGGCCAGTACTATGAAATTGTGAAAATTATTGTGAAGTCTATTCATCTCACAGTCAAATATAAACCACTCAATTATTTAGGATATTTTATTAACATGAGTCAGTAGAGCATGAGTATTTTACCTAAA